GGTCCCTGTGCTTTGCTAAGCTTGTTCTAAGTAGGTGCTTTAGACCACTGAGCCATCTCACCAGCCCCTAAGGGTGTCTTTTTAAAACACCTTGAAATGTCATTTATCTTTTTTTTCTCTGTTCATATGCAGACATAATTTTTATTTGAGAATGCTCGAGGTGGAATTATGATTAGCCTTTGATTTTCCACGTACTTTCATGTCTTCGTAGGCCTTCCTGCTACCTGGTATCGTCATAGTTACCATTTAGTGCCCGCACACCAATCAAGCAATGTGACTGGCTTTACTTAATTGTGCTTTATTTTTGGTTCCTGTTCTTAATGGTATTTTCCTCCTTTTGTCTCTGTAGGAAGTTCTCCAGCAGCTGATCGTAATGAATTTGCCCAATGTTTTGATGATTGGCAAAGACCCACTGTCTGGTGAGTGAAAGGCCCTCTGGCCCCATGCGGTGCCCGGGCAGTGCCGTCGGCTTTGGACAGCTGTTAGCCACCAAGCTCTGGCTGCCAGATTGGGGCCCCACAGTGAAAACACGTGATGGTTTTGGTGGGATTTTAAAGAGGGGTTTATTGCCCTGAGGCACTAAGGCAAGAGCAGGTTTATCCCATGAGCCTGAATCTGTTTCAGCCCATCAGACATGCAGAGGCAGAGGCAGGCAAGGCCATGGCTTCGTGCCAGGCAGGCCTGGGTTGAGGTGTCTGAGGCGTGTGGTGGCTTCTCCGGTATCTCGGCACCTCAGTAAATGTGGAATCAGATTCCACGGTGATGGAGAACAGTTTCATAAGCAGGAAATAAGTGCCATCTTGGGAATCTCAATACTCCCTTCTCGTGCTCTGTGATGGAGCTCTTCGAAGGGCATGTGGTCATTTATCTGCCTTATCCCCTGCTTGGTGTCTGCCCTTCAGTGTCCATTTGAAAGAGAAAGGTCTTCTGTAAGCTTCTAGGAAGTCAGAGCTTAGTCCATACCTGCCAGGTCACTCCTTGGAGACTCAGAGGGTGGCGGGTTGGCCCCCATCCCGGGCTGCTGTGACTCAGCATATGCGCTTAGGCACTAGGCCCACCTGCCCTCTGGCTGGAACACCAAGAGAAAGAGAGGCCCTTGGCCTCCTACTGGCCTTTCTTATGCTGGGTCCTGCGCGCTTACTGCCTGGCACAGTGCCCCTGCTGTGTGCACTTGGGCCACCTGATGGCTCCTGGGCCTGTATCTTCCATACCCCCAGCTCTGCCTTTGGGCCATGTGTTTTCTGGCTTTATTTCAAGGTCCCTCCAGAGAGAGGTGGAGAATACCAAGGGCAGCCCATCCCAGCCCCAGCCTGGGACCTGGGGACAGTTGGGACCCTGGGGACTTCTGTATAACTTAGCCTGGTGAAATAGGGCTGCCTTCCTTGTGGGCTGGTACCTAAGGGGAGATGAGGGCAATGCCTGGCGAGCTTGGATAGGGGAACTTAGGTCTGTTTCACTCTGGAAGCACTGAGGCTCATTCCGGGTCCTAGAGTGAGCCTGTCATGCACTGGGCACTGAACGTGGGTTCAGGCGTGGAGCCAGGGCTGGGGCTCAGTGCTAGAGACATGCCCAGCACACCCAGGGCCCTGGGTTCAGGCCCAGCAAGACTGCATACAGCACACCACTCAGGCACGCGCGCGCTCGCACACACACACACACACACACACACACACGAGACAACTTTGTGCTTCTAGGGTGTTTCTGTGCTATTCCATTTGTTGAGCAGGGACATACTATTAAGCAGAGATTCCTCGAGGTTCAGTGACAACTGCTGGCCACTTGGCCTTTAACAGGGTAGCTGATTGGAAGCCTGAGCTCCTGTCTCTATCTTGCATGACCACGCTGGAGTTGGTTGAACTATAGGTGCCTGCACACCAGTGGAGAAGTGGATGCTGATTTTTAAAAACAGTTTCACTGAAGTATAATTTGCGTACTTTTAATCGTTCTTATATTAAGTGTACAGTCTAGTTACTTTTATTTCATAATTATGAGGTGTGATCGAAACATGGCTGGCACTTAATTTATTTTTTATTTATTTATTTATTTTTTGGCGGAACCGGGATTGAACTCAGACCATTGTGCTTGCCAAGGAAGCACTTATTCCACTGAGCGCCATCTCCCCGGCCCCGCAAGCACTTAATTTAAAAAAAAAATACTACAGTAGAAGACAACACTGCCATTAAACTGTCTCCAAGCGCTGCCCTTGTTTTGAATGTACTTTTCCCACCCTTTTCATCGCTTTCTGAAGCACTTCTGCAGCTCCACTCTCGTGAGCGTCTTCAGTTGCACTGCCATGACTGCTTTGGCGCCCAGAATGGATTTGCCTTTCGTGGTCATTTTGACTTTGGGGAGGAGCCAGAAGTCGCAGACCCAGTGAATAGAGTGGACGAGGACACCTGCCTTTCTGTCAGCTGGCACACGGTAGTGGCTGTCACCATTTTTAATTTTTAAATTTTTTTTGTCTTTTGGAGACATGGTCTTGCTATGCAGCTCAGGCTGGCCTTGAGCTCACTTTGTAGCCCAGGCTGGTCTCGAACTTGAAACAGTCCTCCTGCCCCAGCCACATCAGTGCTGGGATTACAGATGTGCACCACTATGTCCTGCTTTCTCCATATTTTTTTTATCATCCTTCATGAAGATATAAAAGATTTCTGAAGCTGCTTCAGAAAGTGGCAAGAATTGCTTCTCAGTCTTTTGACTAAGATCAAGTGCAAGTGGCCAGAGTGATGGGATAAGTGTGCTCCAGGTGAGGGGGTTAGTGGCGGTGTGCCTTGGTTTTGTTTTGTTTTGTTTACTTTTCTTTTTTGTGATACCAGAGATCGAACTTGGGACCTTGTGCATGCCAGCGAGGCACTTATGCCACTGAGCTGTCCCCTCAGCCCAGATATGGTAGTGTGTCTTTTACTGTGACAGATTTTTAAAATGTAAACACTGATCTTGTTTTTTGGTGGAACTGAGGATTGAACTCGGGCCTTGCGCTTGCCAGGGAAGCGCTTATTCTACTGAGCCATCTCCTCAGCCCCCTGACCTTGTTTTTTGATCATCTCTTATATACAAGCCATGCGGCCCGCAGCCTAGTGCTCTTGAGATGTCACAGGGAAACGGGTTCCCAGTCAGTGGCCCAGACACAGCATGTACGGTGCGCACACCCAGCCCTAAGTGAAAGTGGGGCTAAAAGCTGGGGAGCAGAGTAACACCCACCTTGGCCCAGGCCCTGCAGCTGCCCAGCAGGCAGAGCTGGCCTCGCGTGGTGCACAGGGCGTGGGGTGGTAGGGCCTGACCGGGCTCCCCAAGCTTCGGGAGCAGAGACCGGCAGGGATGTCGTCTACCAGTGCGGAGTTGTGATCAGAAGTACCGGAGGCAAGGAGGTATGTTTATAGAATGGCGTTTCAGTTTAAAATTTTAAAAATAGATATGGAGAGCATTTTGTGTTTCTTTTTGAACAAAGAACACAGTTACGTTTGAATCCCTGTGGTTGCCTGGGGCAGAGGGACGGGTGTGCCTGCCCTCCTTCTCACATGCTGCACAACGGGGAGGTCTGTGCTCTTTTGTCAGATGCTGATGCTGTACTGCTAATTGCAGCATTTTTACAGTTCGGGTTATTTTTGTTTGGAGTAAGTATCCTAATGGAACCAGGTCCCAGATTCCACTAGATTCTTAGCAAGGTGCTGGTCCTGAGAGGTTGAGTATTTGTTCCCGGTCCTCTGCTTTACAAAAGGGCCACTCCATGGTGGTGGGCCACTCCGTGGTGGTGGTCTGTGTGTCTAGCCTCCTCCCCCATGCGGGGTGAAGTCAGGGATGGTATACCGCACGCACAGTGCTTCAGCTGTCTTGGGAAGTCCCCTCTTAGGCAGCATCCCCTGTAACACCGAGGTTTGTATCTTGGCTCCTGGCTTGCCCCTGGGTGTCCTCTCGGGTTGGGCTGTGGTTCTGTAGCCATCTCTGATGTCCCCACACCGCTGGGCCAACATCCGAGTAGTGCCTTGTTACCGTGTGCCCCACATTAATGTGTGTGTGAGCCTGGATCTGCCAGGGCCCTGTTGACCCCTCTCCTACTGCCATAGGAAGACACTTTCCTGCTTCTCAGGGCTGAGGTTGTTTGTTTGCAGAACTGGGAATTGAACTCAGACCCTTGCACTTGCCAGGGAAGCATTTATTCTACTGAGCCATCTGCCCAGCCCCTAGGGCTGAGATTGTAGGGTGCGCTGTGACTCGCTGGCCAAGTCTTACCTGTGTCTCGTCCCCATATCTCTTTCTCCAGCCATGTATCTGTGGCGCTGCCACCTTCTTTCTGGCCACTTGTGCCTCACTGCTCCCAGGGCGCTCCCTCCCCACCCCTGCTTTTGCCCTGCAGTGTGCTCCACCATGGCCATCGGACACTACTCTTCTGAGATTGTGCACTTTTCTGCCCCTGCTCCCGGCACCAAGGCCTGTGAGTCCTCTGCCTGCTGCACTCTCCCCTTAGGCATCCCCAGGCGCGACCCCAGCAGGTCCTGCTCGCTGCCCCCTGCTTGGGTGGCCACCCCTGCTCCACGCCCCCTCCTCCCTGCTCTGCTGGCCTTTACTTACAGCACATACCACCTGTCCAAGACCACCCGGTGGACTTACTTCCTGTGTCTGCTGCATCGCTTCCCCCCAGCTTTGGGGATCCCCAGTGAGCACAAGAATCATTAGGCTTTGTTGTACCTGTCAGTGCATCTAGTGTAGACCGATGGCATACAGTAGGTGCTCGGTAAACGGCCTAAGTGCTGGAAGCCCACTTTGTCCCTTTTCTGTCCTTTCCCCGCCTTATGCTCCCTTAACCTGGGGCTTCATATGTTCTCGTGGGAAAAAAAAAAGCCAGGTGTCAGTGATCAAGGTCAAGCGAGATTCTGTCCCTCCCCAGGGCCAGTGGTGTCTCTCCCAGGCTAGAGAGGGCCCACTGGTAGTTGTATACCCGTTGAACACATATGCGTGGTTTACTGGGGAGCGTATTCTACAAGAAGCCTTATAAAGACCAAGAGCTCTTATCTGTTGCATGAAATAAGGGAGGCTGTTGTGTAGGACTAGGCCCGCTTAGCAGCCAGGCCTGTCCCAGGGCAAAAAGATGAGATTTGGCTGACAGGAGGCCAGGATGTTAGCTGATTAATTTCTGTAATGACTCATGCAACAGTGGTATTGGAGTAGAACACTTTTCTCTTGCAAGGTTTGTATCCAAGTGAGGCGGTGACGTGCAGACTTGTGAACTGCGGATCCCTCCTAAGTTCCATGGACTGTCATGGAAGGAGCCCTACAGGTGCAGAACCAGCCCAGAGAGGGGAGGGACTCCTTCTGAGATGCGTGGAGTGGGGGTCCCGTAGGTGAACAAGTATTTACACCATGCAGTGTACGTGTGGCTGTAGCCGTGAATGACTGCTGTTGGTCCTGAACAGAGGGGCAG